TATAAAAAATATATATTTTTAATTATTTTATTAGTTAATTTGTTAAATTTATTTAATTATGCATATTTTTTATCTTTTAATTTTAAGTAAAGGGACAAAAAAATGTGTTTATATTACAAATCGAAAGATAAAAAATATACATATATTAAAAGTTGATAAACTAAAAATATGTAAATTTAGATAAACTTAACAGATTAATTGACAAAAAAACAAAAAAATACATTTTTTAATGGTTTAGGGACAAAAAATATATATTTTTCATAATTAAGAGATAAAAAAAATGTATAAAAAAATTGAGAAATAAAATTATGTAAAATCTTAAAGTTAAGGAAGCAAAATTAACATTTAACTATATATAAAAAAAAAAGTTTACTTTGACCTCACTTTTACAAATTAGAATATGCTATCATAATTAATATTATGGCGAATCATGCAAATCACTCCCTGAATTCATGGATCGGTGTTAAATAAGCCCCTCAAGTACATTCAGATTTTAGAAACAAGCTAACCCTCCAACTTTCATTAGGTGGCAAATTAGCCCTTTTGAACACCCGGGACGTTAAATCTAACCTTTTGCTTTCAATTGACTTGACATTTCAATCCTTGAACTTAATGCTCTTTGGATTTTTCAGTCCTTGAGTTTATATTTGCTACAAAAACAGCTTTCATTCTTATATTGCTAAATTTTTTAATTCTTCTAAAGCTAAAGCTTTACTAACTTTATATACATATTTTTCCCATAGTAACTGATCAGTTCTAAAGGGAGTCATCCTTCTATTATAATCTTAGTTAATAATTTGTTCTGATAATCATAAAATCTTACTAGTTTTCTTAATTCCATTCTTAACAGCATTGATTCTTATGGCTCTAATATCAAAATTTTTATGGGGGGTTTTCAGAACCTAACTCAGACTACAAGCTAATGTGTGGCTGGTATGTTAAGTTCAGTAAGTGTGAAATCAGATCTATTAAACTGCTAGAAGAGATAATCTTTGCTTAGCTTTTTTGAGTCTTTTTAAATTTTCATTTAGATTTGCTACTATTTGCTTTAATTTTTTAAGATTCTTGAAGAGATGGTAATCATCTATATCTTCAATATTACTTATTTTTTCTAAAATATTCACTATTTTATTTCTATAATATTCGCATTGCTACTCATAAACTACTTTATCTATAATTATTTCTTGAATGAAGTCAAGCATTTTAGAGTATTACCAACCAATTTTTAGGATGAGTTTTTCTATTTGAAATATAAGAGGTTAGGTACTATTTCCTTGTTATTTCTAATCTCAAGAATAATAATGTCAAAAGACAATAGAAATGTTTCTATGCCCACCTAGCTTCTGCATGATAAGAGAATAAGTTTAGAATTATACCTAAAGACTTCTTAGTCTAGGCTTTAGTCTAGCTTATGCTTCCTTCGTTCAACCCTCAATGCCACTCTGGCTACACGAGTATTCGAACAGGACAAGAGACCTCATTGCTGTCGAAGTATCTTTAGGGATTCTTTTCATTGTTTTTTATGATGGAAATCAAGAAGGGTAAAAGCACGAGAATATCCTAAGACATGTTTTTATTCTTGAGAAGAGAAAGGGAAGGTTCCCTTTCCTCTTGAAGGGTGATTACAAATGCATGGTAGAAGGAACTCAAGTAAGGTATTTGGATATTTAGATGTCCATACCTGTGATAGCTTATAGGAGGCTTTTTATAGTACTCCTTAGAATCTTTTCTTTCATCATTGCTAATGTTTAAAGTTTACATTATTGTCTGGTAAACCAGACTTGCACCTTGCTTTTACTAAAGCTGATTACATGGAATCTGTAATATCCCAAATTTTCGGGAATATTTAAGTGTAAGTTAGGGACTTGATTGTGAGAAAAGATTGTTTTGGGGCTTGATGGCCAACATTTTGAAAGTTGAGGGACTTAAAGAGGGAAAGATTTTGGATAAGGATGACTTCTTTTCTTTATCTTTTTCTTTCTTTCTTTTCTTCTTCTTGTCTTCCCGCTGCAGCCACCCGAAGAAAAAAAAAAGGGGGAACCCAGCCATGCCTTTGAAAAACCGGTAAAGCTTGATGATTTTCCCTTATTTTCTTGTCCAAGAACCTGATTTGGAACCCAGAAATCTCCCCCCCTGCAGGAAGCTTTCGGATCTGCTCTGTCCTTCCTCCCTTGTCCACCGGCTGCTCTTGCTTGTGGGGGTGAATTGCTCGGTTTTTTGGTAAGAAATAGTCATGAATCTCCCTTCTCTAGCTTGAATTGCCTTGGGTTTACTTTAATTCCCTTTTGTTTCTCCAATTTTGGGTAGATCCGTGAGTTTCTCCCCTGCACTTGCCGCCGGCTTCTCCCCCTGCCAAGTCCGGTTCCGCAACTGGAAAATTTATGGTAGGTTGGCTTCTCTAATTCTCAAAAATTGGTTGATTAGTGGCTGCTTTGTGATGTCTAAATTTGGCTAGAAAATGGGGATGAAATTGATAGTAATTAGACCATGATTTAGCTTGATTCAAGTGGAATTTATATGATTGAGTGTTAATGGACTGCTATGTGATTTTTGGAGAGAAAATCCCGTGAGATTAGCTAGTGTTTTGGCCAATTTGTGGAAGTGGAGTTACTGTTCATGGACACTGTTCACACCCGAGGGCCAACATTTAACGGGAATTTAAATGATTAATTTGTGATATAAGAACGATTTTGGGGATATTTGATCATGTGGAGATTTATGGAAATAGCATTGTGATTAGAAATGATCCTAATGATGATTTCAGCTTGAATTTGTGATAGTCCGGTATTAATTCTGAGGTGTTTTGATTAGGTTCCCGATCGTTCTGTCAGTTAGTACGTGAATTGAGTGCTCGGTTTTATGCAAGTGAGGTAAGTAAATTTATGGTAATGCTCGTACTGTTTTAAAAGCATGTTTTGATTTGTTTTTGAAGTGGTGGCGGGACTAAACCCGTTTTACACGAGCATGACTGATTTGAAGTGAAATGTTTTATGCTTTTCATTAAATTGAGCATGCCTACTTGAAATTTAAGTGACTGTCTTGATGATCTGAAAGTGATTGTGAATCGTGATTTTCCTGTTAACTTCTGCCTGTTTTGTCTCCGATATGGTCATGTTATTCGTGTGCCCGCTAGTGGGAGGTTTATAAACGCTAGCACATGTCGACATGTTACTGATAGAACCGGTTCGTTTCTGTTATCCTGCTAGTGGGAGTTAAACACTAGCAATTTTTGTTGCCCGCCAGTGGGAGGTTTATAAACGCTAGCCGTGACCTATGGAGGAGACGTCTATTTCGTGCCCGTACTGTATCTGTTTTTGTGATTGTACTTGTTGGCATGCTTTAAGTTTGATAAGGGGCACTCCATATTTACTTACTGAGTTTATCTCATAATTTTTCCTTGTCCACCATTTTAAGAAGTGAAACCGAGGACGGGGAAACCACAGGAAGTGACGAGTTAGAAAGCTAGCCATTTCGAGATTGATATAGATTCTAGAAATCATGATCTTGTAAGCTAGTGTACTTGGAGATTTTATGAGATCAGAGTAAATTTTAAAGATTTGATCTTCAGATTTTGGTGGTATCAGAGTACAGTATGATAAGTTCCGAGCTTTGTGCACTTGTGGGACCCGTCTCACGAGTGCACGGCGTCTGTCGCGTCTCGAAATTGGGTTTTGGGGCGTGACAGAATCTTACTAACTTTTTTCTTTTGCTTCAATTATATAAGAGCCTTTGTCCTTTTGCATTGGACTCATTCGAGGATGATGAGATCCTCTTCACTGACTAAGGGGGTAGTTCCTCCTTCACGTGCTACTTCAACCTTTTCTTTTGTAGATTCTTTTTTGTAGCAGAAACCACAGTGATTGTCATGCTTTAACAGCTTGCATAGTCTATTATGCACTGCTTTACTGGTTGGAACTAGATTTTCAAAGATTTTCTTTCTTTTCTACTTTATTTTGAATAGGCTGATCCTTGTCATTAATCTTGCACCAGTGGATACTACTGAGATTTCTTTGGAAAAGCCATATGTCCACGTCTTCCTCATCTCTATCATTCTGTCAAAGGTTTGGAGTAAAACCTTGAATCCTAGTGCTCGTCTTTCTTGGATAAACTCGATCTCACAAAAAGACTCTTCAAAGTCTTGGAAAATTTGATCTTCATTTGCTTCAACATTGACTTTCTTGGATTGAATTCCAATTTGAACTATATGATGACTGGAGAAATATTGAAATCTCCCATTTTGGTGCTGTAGAGTAGATTTTGACAAATTATATCCCTTGAGCCTTGGTGCCAATCTTGAAGTCTTTCACTCCTTGGCGTATAACTTTTGGAAGTTCTGAAACTTCTTCATTATTCTTTGAGAGATAAATATAGTTTACAAAATCGTAATTGAATAATTCTTTTAGTACTTTTGGGTTTGCACCCTGCATGAAATTAAATTTGGGATAAATCCCTTCATGGATAGGATGGCAATTCTCGGTAGGCCTCATTGAATATGCTATTCTACAGACTCTGTGGTAATCCTGCAAATATTCTTCACTCATTGTCATTTTTGACAAGATGTCTATTATTGTAACTTTCTTTTCTTTCTTTCCTAAATAATCAAGTCAAAAGTTATGGTTTTCAGTATTTTGAATAGCCGGCTTTTCAGCTTGAGATGCTGATGTATCTGAGGGGAAAGTATTTGACATAATAATCAAATTTCCCTGAACTTTCTCCGAGTAATCCTACTAAAGGATCACCTTTTTCAAAATTTTCTTTTAGCTCTTGTTGGGAGTTTTTCTTTGCCATCTGGCTAGATTCTTTAGAGCTGATTCTGATAGTAGTAATTACTCTAGAACTTATTAATTTTTCTAGTAGCTCTTTGACTTCTTCAAGGGCATCTTGTCCCTTATTTAACAACTCACGGCCTTTAATAATTTTATCTTGGCCTTCATCCATAAGGTTATGGCCTTCATCAATTATCTCTTGGCCTTCTCTTATCTGGCTATTGCCTTCAATGAGTATCTCTTGACCTTTGAGAATAAGGTCTTTTCCTTTATTTTGGAGTCTCAGAATTGCATCCATTAGCTCTTTCTCTACTTAAGAAATCTGCAAGACAATTATTAGTTCCTTTGACATGTTTAATTTCAAAATCATATTCAGCAAAGAATGTTTGCCATCTATTTAGTCTCTTATATTCTGGTGTTAAAGGTAATTTATTAAAAATAAATCCCTTAACTTGAGTATTGTCAGTTCTAATCTTAAAATGATTTGGTAATAAGAAGAAAATGAACTTTTTTATTCCATTTTTAATGGCCAATAATTCTTTATGATTTAAATGATATCTTGTTTCTATGTTTTTAAATGTACTGCTAGCATATCTACAAACTTTTTCTTGAGAATTTTTCAAAGCTGCTCCCTAATAAAAATCTAAAGCATCACATTCTAAAACTAATTCTTCGTCATCTCTAGGTAATTGTAATCTAGGAAGGTTCTTGCAATATTCCTTAATTCTTTTCACATGATTGGTGTGATGAATTTCCCATTATTGACTCTTTTTCTTCCTAAGCAGCTTTTGCAAAGGATGCCTTAGTTGAGCTAAGTTCTGAATAAACTGTTCTGTATAAACTATTCTACATAGTTGAGTATACCTAGAAATCTTTGAATCTGTTCTCTAGATTCTAATTTATCTGGGAACAATGAAATCTTTTCACTTATGTGAGGCTATAATTCTATTCCTGTGGAATCTATTGTTAATTCAAGGAATTCAATCTTAGCTTTTCCTATTTCTACTTTCTTTTTAGAAAGTAATATTTCATGTTTCTTGCATAAATAGGCAAATTTCCTAAGATAATATAGATGTTCTTTCTCGTTATCAAAGAAGAGTAATATATCATCTACATATATTATGCAAAATTTTTTTATGGATGAAAATACATTGTCCATTCTTCTTTGAAATATTTGAGGGGCGTTTTTCAATTCGAAAGGCATTACTAGCCATTCATAGTATCCTATAGGGGCACTAAAGGCTATTAATGGAATACTTTTAGGAGTTAGCTTAATTTGCCAAAATCCTGATTTATAATCAAACTTTGAATATATCTTCTTTCCTCTAATGCTATTTATTAGAGTTTCTTTATGTGGTAGAAAGTAACCATCAAATTTAGTCTTGCTATTAAGTTGTTTGTAGTTGACAACCATTCTTGCTTTTCCTCTTTTTAATTCATTATGATTTCTTACTGTTAACACTAAAAAATAGAATAGATGGTGTGGAACCAAGATTTTTGTTGATAGAGAGAATTTACAATGAAGAGAGAATGATGATGGAAAAATAATCCACCTCCTTAGGTTGATCCTGGAGGTATTTATAGGATGCTTAAATATAGTTATTCTAGGAATACAATTTTATTTAATTGGTGTTTGGGGTATTCTTATTCTAGTGGGATTTTATTCTATTCAACTTTGATAGGATTATCTCTAGAATGTCTTCACGTGTCTTGATTCTCATGGGACTTGATTTAGGGTATAACATTTGCCCCCCAACGAAGAAGTTTGAGAGCAGTGAAAACTTCAACGAGTCTCTCTTTCTTCTTTGTTCTGCTAATCTTGGTTTTGAATTCTACATAAGTTCTAGCTTTTTCAACCGTGGTTGCCCTCATTAAAAACCTTAACTAGAAAAAAACCTTGTAGGATGAAAAAAAATCTAGTTTAAGGAAAAAAGAGTGCAACGCAAGTTTTCTTTTCATGATTCCTAGCATAGTTTTCTCATTAAAAAAATTTATTGAAATTAATTGTTCTGCAGATTTGTGGTGATTTGTTCAGGTCCTTTCTTGATTTTTCCATATCTCTATAGCTGCATTTCCTGGATTTTCTTCTTGGCAGCCTTTTTTATGCACGTGGCCCCCATTGTATGGTTTTTTTGGTACGACAGGTCCTTTTAGTTCAAACCCCTATTTCCTTGGGATTTTATGCAATTTATCCTTTTGGCTTTCAAATGAGGCTTTCTTGGGTTTCCTGATTCTTCTTTTTCTTTTTTGTTTTCTTCCTTTTCTTTTTTGTTTTCTTCCTTTTGAGAAGGACTTCTTTGATCTTGTGATTTGATCAGGCCGGTTGTCATGTGATGGCCATTAATCCTTCTGCTTCCAGTTCTGTTTCGATCTTTGCTTCTGGCTCTGTTCTGATCCCTGCTTCCGTTGGTTCTTCCGTCGATGATATGGGTATCCTTCCCTCTCCTTCTGAGTCGAAGTTCTTTGATGTTTTTTGCCTTCCCCGAAAAGCAGATGGGAAGTTTGTTGTGAAAGGTGCTTCACGCCATGTGGAAAGGGATCCTATGATTCCTTCTATTCCTACAAAGTTTCCTTTGGTTTCTTCTTCAAAGGGTGGAAAAGTTGTTCTCCCTCTAGGCTCAACGAAGGTGTTCTGTGATCTTGATAAGGTGTCTTGGGTTACCAGCAATTGTGATGTGGATGAGATTAGGGAGATTTATAAAAAAACTTGATAGATCCACAGGTTTTTCTTCCTCAACATCCCGTGCGTCGCGTGGCATTTTAATGCCTTTCTCCTGACATGTGTGTGTGCAAGGATTAATTTGCATGTGGGTTGTGTTTTCCTTTGCATCCTTTTTTCCTTGAAATTTGTGATGAATTCTCTATTAGCCTTCCCTAATTGGCTCCTCGTGGTATTGCTTATATTGTTGCCTTTATTGTCAGATGTTTCCTTCTTAAGATTATACCTACCTGTGAGCTTTTTTGTTTCTTTTTTCACTTAAAAACTGTTGAGCCCACTAGTAGTTGGTATTACTTTTCCCGTAGAGTGCTAGAGTTTTAAGGTGTGGATGATAAAAAACGTCATCAGGGTAATACCATCTTTGTAGACCTTTTGCCTGGTTATGATTCCAATAATTGGCATAAGAGATTTTTCTTTCTGAGTGCCCCTAAGGATGCTAAATTTCCTTCTCTTCTCTTTGGCGGGTCCCTCGGACTACTATTGTTGAGGTTCTACTTTCGGTAGATGATTATAAGGCTGTCCATAAGTTTGTTACCGAATCATCTGTGAGCATTGCAGTATTGATTGTTCATGAGAATTTGATTGAGGCGAGTATCTGGGTTCTTGGTTCCTGTGACTCTTACTCTGATTTTCCTGTTCCTCTTGTTCCTTCTGGCTTTGAGGCTTCTCCGAAGCCTAAACGGTCCTTAAAACGAAAAATTGGTGATGGGAGTTTGGCTGCTACTCCTAGTTCTTTTCTTGGTTCTGTTGGTATCTTTTTACCTTCTGCTTGGCTTTTCTTGATATTTTCTTGTTTTTTCTCTTCTAGTTATATTTATTTTGTATGTTTTAGGTGGCATAAATACCTTAGCTATTTTGAATTGTTCTACCAAGATTGAAAAGCTCGAAAAGGTTGATAGAGTTGTGAAGACTAAGAAAATATCGGCTAAGAAAGTTGAAAAGGCTGCTGGTAAGTCTAAGGGGGTTGTTCCTCAAGGGGCGCCTCTAGTTGTGATGAGGTCTAAGAGATTGAAAAGTGCTTCTTTTAAATCAGCTTCCGCGGGTGGTTTTGATAAGGGTGTGGTAGAGGGTTGTGTTATTGAGGTTGATAACGAGGTTCCTTCTTCTTTTGTTTTTCCTGATGACGAGTTGCAACAGTTTTCTTCCAAGGGGAGACTCTTGATTTCTTCTGTTATGGACTTTATTGCTGGGAAAAGCTTTTCTAAACCTTTGACAAGGTTGCCTTTGAAAGATGTCGTCTCTCCTGGTATGTATTTCTTCTTATTGTCCTCATGTCAACTTCCTTTCTCTGTTAGTTATTGTATCTTCCTTCTTATGCAAGTTATGATATTGGCATCGAGGGTCCTTCCATCATTGGGCATAGTTCCATTGCCCGTGAATCTTCTAAATCCATGCTGTTGGCTGGTGATAAAAAATTGCTTTCAAATTTTCCTTTGGAGGCTCTTCATGACATGGCCGTTCATCATTTTGCTAGTGTGTGTCTTTCCTTTTTCTCTGTGGTTGACCTAGTGTTTTTGTGCTATTTTCTCTTTAATGTCTTTCTTTGCTCTTGTATTTTAGGTTTGTGCTATACTTCAGCATATGAAAGAAATTCTCCTGGACAAGGAAGATTCGTCTTACTGTGCTGTTGCTGATTTGTCTGAGATGCGAGAGAGGAGCAAAGATCTACTAAACTAGTGTCGCCAGCTCCATTCTAAGAAAACAGCATTGGGAGCTAATTTTATCGAAGTTGAGAGGTTGAAGAAAGAGCTAACTATGCTTCAGGAATGTTATGATTTGTTGAAGAAAGAGAAAGAACTTTTCTCTTCTTCTGTTGCTGCTAAAAAAGAGTCTTTGGAGCCCTCTATTTTGGCTCTGCAACGGCGGTTGGGTGATCTTTCTTCTGCGAATTTTGCTTTGGAGAGGTCCATCTTGGATCTAAGGGTGCAGGTTTCCTCTCTACAGGCTTCGTCTTCCTCCATTGTTCAATCTTCTAAGGAGTCTCCTGAGGGTAAAGCCTTTGCTCTTTCTAGTAGCTTGGGTTACTTCAATCTTGCAGTCAATCTCATCAAGATGTTGCTCCCTTGCCATGGGCTGATTGTGTCTGACCGTCTTGTCAAGTTTGAGGATATGGATGTTGTTGCACTGATTCACGCTGATCCGGAATTGAAGAAAGCTTATGATCAAGGTCTTAGTGCTGTTTCTCTGGATGATTCTCCTAGGGAGGCATTTGAAGGTACTGGTAACTCCTGGGACGTGGGAGATTTTGCCACAGCCGTCTGTAGCAGGAGTAGCTCTGTTGATGTGGAGGTTTTGCGGGGTGCTTCCCCTTCTCCACCTGCGTAGCGAGCCTTTTTTTATTCTTGAGAACTGAAGATATTATATTTTTCTATTTGCTGTGGACTTGTTGTTTTGTTTGTCTCGGGTTTTCGTCATGCCTTGCATTGTGTCTTTTCATTGAGATTATGTATGGAAAATATGTTTTCTTATATTCTAAAATTTGCATTAACCTCTGTAGCACATTCTTGCATAGCTTTTGTTAGGGTATTTATATACACCCTAAACTTGCTCGCTGCCTTTTGCTTGCGTAACTTTTGCTTGGGTGTTTATGTACACCCATACTTGTTCACAACTTTTGTTTTCCTGTGTAACTTTGGCTTGGGTATTTTAAGTACACCCAAACTTGCTCACAACTTTTTGCCAGTGTAACTTTTGCTGGGGTATTTTATGTACACCCAAACTTACTCACAGCTTTTTTATTGTCTGCGTAACTTTTGTTTGGGTATTTTATGTAGACCCAAACTTGCTCACAGCTTCTGCTTGCCTGTGTAACTTTTACTTGGGTATTTTCTGTACACCCAAATTTGCTCACAGCTTTTTGCTTGTCTGTGTAACTTTTGCTTGGGTATTTTATGTACACCCAAACTTACTCACAGCTTCTGCTTGCCTATGTAACTTTTGCTTGGGTATTTTATGTACACCCAAACTTGCTCACAGCTTTATGCTTGCCTGTATAACTTTTTCTTGGGTATTTTATGTGCACCCAAACTTGCTCACAGCTTTTTACTTGCCTTTGTAACTTTTGCTTGGGTATTTTATGTACACCCAAACTTGCCCATTGCTTTTAGTTTGCTTAAGCATATTTTTGTTTTATCCGGATATTATGTATCTACTAAATTTTGCATTTCATTAAGATAAAAGCCATAATGTTCATGGAGAATAATTTATAAGATTACTTGCCTTTGCTTATTGGTAGTATTTCTTAAGGTGCGTAGCATTCCAGGTCCGTGGGATTATAGCTCCATTGGGACGTATCAACTTGAAGGCTCCATTGCCTAAATCTTCCTTGATGAGGTATGGTCCTTCCCAGCTTAAGCGCAGCTTTCCTTCTCAGAAATTTATTTTTGAAACCTTTGTTTTTCTTAGTACCCAATCTCCTTTGCACAGGTTTTTAGGTTTTACCTTGCGATTGTAATATTTTTCTGCTTTTCTATGGTAACTTACCATTCATACTTGTGATAAGTCCCTAACTTCTTCTAGTAAATCCAGGTTGGCTCTTAAAGTCTCGTTGTTTTTGTGTTCGTTGTAATGGCTTGCTCTATGCGTTGAAATTTTGGTTTATACTGGAATCATTACTTCTGTTCCATATGTTAAATTGAATGGAGTTTCACCAGTGGATGTGCAGTACGTGGTTCTGTAGGCCCATAATGTGTACAATAGTTCCTTTGTCCATGTGCCTTTTGCCTTTCCTACCCTCTTTTTCAGGCTATATAATATGATTCTGTTCGCAACTTCTACTTGTCCATTCGATTCTGGGCAAGCTACTGAAGCAAATCTCTGCTCAATTTGTTCTGGTGTTTTTCCTTCATTTTCTAGCTGAGCTTTGATTGTGAATCGTCTCTCCAGATTCTGTGCTTGACAAAATTCTTTGAAAGATTCGCTTGCGAATTGGGTCCCATTGTTTGTGACCAGGATTTTTGGTGTTCCAAACCTACATATGATGCATATTTTTACAAATTCTTCTATTTTTTGTTCTCTTATTCTAGCTATAGCCTCGGCTTCTACTCATTTCGTGAAGTAGTCTATTGCACCTATGAGGTATTTCTTTTTTCCTTTTGCTTATGGGAAAGGCCCAAGGATGTCCATCCCCCATTTTGTGAAGGGCCATGGAGCTGTTACCATATGCAGAGGATTTGAAGGTTGGTATTGTATTCGAGCGAACCTTTGGCATTTGTCACACCTCTTGACGTATTCCTTTGTGTCCATCTTCATGGTTGGCCAAAAATATCCTTGGCGGAGGATCTTATATGATAGTGATTCTGCTCCTATATGGTTGGAACATTCTCCTTCGTGAATTTCTTCCATTACGGTGTTTGCCTCATTGGATGTCAAACATCTGAGCCTTGGCTGTGTGTATGATCTTCGATAAAGATGATCACTAAGGATTGTATACCACGCAGCTTTTCTTTTCAGTTTCTGTGCTTCTTTCTTGTCCTCAGGTAAATCTCCATTAGAGAGGTATCTTTTGATTAGATTCATCTAGGTCACTTCTTCCTCTATCTCCAAGATTTCTTCTTCAGATATCGAGGAGGAGCTCAATTCTTCAATGTATATCTCTTTTCATGACTCTATGACTCTGAAACTAGCTAGTCTGGCCAATGCATCAGCTTTTGAATTTTTAGTTCTTTTTATATGGTGCATCTCGTATCCTTTAAATGGTTTAAGGAGTTGCATAGCTTTTTCCAGGTATTTTGTCATAACTGTTTCCTGAGCGTTAAAATCTCCTTTTACTTGGTTTACTAGTAATTGTGAATCACTAAATATTTTTATGTATTCTGCATTCACAGCTTTTGCTAATCGAAGTCCTCCCAGCAAAGCCTTGTACTCAGCTCTATTGTTGGATGCCCCAAATGTAAATTTTAGTGCATATTCAAAGATTTCTCCTTCTAGTGATGTTAGTATGATTCCTGCGCCACTCCCATTTTCACTTGATGATCCATCAACATAGAGGGTCTAGTAAAAGTATGGTGGTATTACCCTTGCTTACTCTCCTTCTATTTCTGATGATTGTCGTTTTGCTGGGGGTACTGGCAAAGGTGCATTAAGTGCAGCTTTTTCTTCCTTACTCAGTTCTACCATGAAATCTGTCAAAATCTGAGATTTTGTGGCCTTTCGTGGTTGGAATTCCACATCAAATTCTGTAAGCTCAATGCTCCACTTTACCAACCTTCCTGCCAAATCTGGTTTGTGCAATACATGCCTTAATGGGTAATTGGTGAGGACTATAATTTTGTGTCCCAGAAAGTAATATTTGAGTCTTCTAGTTGCTATGATTACTGCATATGCTAGTTTCTCTAAAGGTGCGTACCTTTTTTTTGGTTCTTGCAGTACTTTGCTTATGAAGTACATAGGTTTTTTCCTTTTTTGTTCTTGCCTGATTAAAGCTGTGCTAATTGCTTCTGTTGTTGCTGCTATGTATAGGAATAATGTCTCTTTGGGAATAGGCTTGTTGATCAAAGGTGGTGATGCGAGGTATGTTTTTAACTGTTTAAAAGCTGTATGGCAGTCCTGTGTCCATTCAAAGTTTTGCTTTCCTCGTGGGATTTTAAAGATGGGTAAGCACCTTTCTACAGATTTTGATAGAAATCTTCCTAATGCCACAATTTTTCCCATAAGGTGCTATACTTCTTTTATTGAAGCTAGGGGTTTCATTTCTATTATTACACGCACCTTTTCTGGGTTTGCTTCAATACCTCTGCTGGTCAACATGAAGCCTAAAATTTTCCTACCCTTACTCCGAACGTACATTATAGAGGATTTAATTTCATGTCATATTCTTGCAATATGTTGAAAACTTGCTCTAAGTCTTCAAGATGCTAATCTAGACTTCTTCTTTTTATTATTAGGTCATTGACATATACTTCTACGCATTTTCCTTTCAATATCACAAAGATTTTGTTTGCAAAACACTAGTATGTTGCACCTGCGTTTTTTAGGCCAAATGGCATCACTATGTAGCAATATGTTTCTCCTGCCGCGATTCTACCATTGGGATTTGGTTGTATCCAAAATAAGCGTCACAAAAGCTGAGTGCTTCATATCCGGAGGAATTGTCTACTAAGTCATCTATGTTAGGGAGCACATAGTTGTCCTTGGGGCACACCTTATTAAAGTCAGTGAAATCAATACACATGCGCCATTTTCCATTTGTCTTTTTTAACATGACAACGTTGGATAACCACTCACAGAAGTTTATTTCTTTTATAAATCTTGCTTCTTTTAATTTCTCTACTTCTTCCTTTATAGCTGCGGTTCTTTCAGCTCCAAATTGTCTCATCTTTTACCTGATTATGGCATGCGATTTTAGGGTCTATTCTAGGCATGTCTGCTGCACTTCCTACAAATATACCTTCATGCCTTTTTAAGCATTCTTCTAATTTTGCGGTAAATTTTGGGTCCATATTTGCTCCTACATTCGTTGTTTTGTCTGGATTTTTTGAGGTGAGTACCATAGATTTGGTGCGATTGATGGGCTCTACTCGTTGTTCCTTTATACCTTTTCGTGCATCCATTGTATCTACAATCAACCCTCTTCTTCTCACGATGTCACCTGTTGCAATTAAATCCCAAGTTTGGGACTTAGGCCGCAGCTTCCGAGCTTCTGGTTGTTCAAAGACTTGTGCTGTGACAGTTTCTTGAATTTTTGCTGATCTTCCTCTTGCTACTCCAATACCTTTTGGTGTAGGAAATTTGATCATCATATGGCTTGTAGAGATTACTGCTTGTAATGCATTCAATCCTGGTCTTCCTAAGATTGCGTTAAAAGAGAATGGTATGTCTATGACAAAGAAGTCCAGAGTTACCACAGCTTTTTGAGAGGTATCGCCAACATGGATAAGTATTGTAATGATTCCTACTACTGGCACATCTTTTCCAAACAACCCTACTAATGGGAATTTGCAAGGTCTCATAAGTTGTGCTGAGAATCCCAACTTCTTGAAAACTTCATGTGTGAGTATATCTTTGCAACCTCCTATGTCTACTAATAGTCTCTTTAATATTTTACCTTGCCGTAGGTTTCTGTCCTCAACTATTACTTGTATCATTAAGGGTTCATAAGGATATACTTCCCTTTGTTGTAGGTCTTTTTTTGTGAAGCTGATTACCTCACTTTTTCTTAAAGAATTCTTCACTTCCAGTGTTGTTGGTGGGGTGTCATAACTCAAATTTTCATCCAAAAAAAAGGAAAAATCAAAAATATAAAAAATATGAATTTTTCCCTTTTATTTAACTAAGCTATCTATATTTTTATTTTTGTTTCAGGGACTACATGCAAAAAGGAAATTTTACGAAGAAGATTGGAAAAGAAGATGAGAAAAAGGATTCAATTGAAGAAATGGAAAGTTGGAGGGGTGAAATGTAAAGTCTAGCCCAAAACCCATCAAACCCAATCCAAAACCCACCAAACTCAAACCCAATTACCCAAAAACCCAAAGCCTAC